CCATCGAGGACGGGCACAGAGAGCTTGACGTCATCGAGAGTGACCTCGCAGAGGCGTTGACTAGCGGCGAGAAGCTGACTCTCGGTCATCGCTGTAGTCCAGTTCTTGCTGCGCCCATGTTGAAGTTGTTGTGTGGATAGCAGAGTCCCACAGATCACGAGCGTTGATAAAAGAGCGGCAGAGAGGTCCGACATAAACAAGCAGGCAGGCAAACACGAAGGCGAACACGAAAAGGCACGTGGCCTTGGCGAACTGGGCTATCGGCGACCCACGGTGACATGCAGGCTGGCTGGGCTTATTGGCGACCCACTTACATGAAGGCAGAGGCAGGAAGACAGGCAGCAAAGTCAGTCAACGCTCAAGTGTGCCAAAACAGTAGGTAGAGCGGTATGACTCGTAAAACACATGCCAAAATCCCAACAACAGAAGACCCGCACTGCTCAATCTCTTTGTCTGATTGTTTATTATGTGCGTGTCTGTCTCTCTGTCTGTCTGTCTGTCTGTTTGTCGTCTCTTGTCTGTCAGACGGCACAGTGTGCCTCAACGTTGGGCGAGACGACGCGGTGTGGGCTGTTGAAGTGAAGCTGCAGTACAAGGAGGGCATCCCCGCCAAAAAGCAGACCCTCACCCACCAATCCATCACAATGGACAACAACCACAAAATAGCTGACTACAAAGTTCGAGAGCACGGAACTCTGCAGCTGTATTTGCCGTACGGACAGCAAAAGGCGAACCATTGATATCTATATCCATTGATGCATGTCTCACAGCGTCCGTGCGGGCACTTTCCACATCACAAGTGGCCGCCATGGTTTCGAAGCAAGCAGCAATTGCCTGGCCAACGAGCTGTCGATGCTGCAAGGCATGGATGAGACGAGCGCCAAACTGGTCGAAGCCTGGGATGTCAGAGATGACGTGCTCAAGCTGATCGGCGAGGTGACAAACGCCTTTGACAACATGGTAATGCTCACCAATGTCCTGCTCGCCAAGCTCCGCCAGACTTAGACATACGAACACAAGCAGATACAACAGAAACGAGCCTGAATCATGTGCACATGAGGGTGTATGCCGGTTGGCAATAGAGACACGTAGCGAGACAAAGACACGTTCAGCTAGAGTCTGCATATATCAGACAAACACTCATGTATGAGTCAACAGGTAACACGCAATGTGACACAGTCAAAAGCAGCACTCCGTACATGTAGGCTTGAGAAAATACGAATATTAAAAGTCGGCTGTTGATGCGACAAACAAGGTCGCACCCAAGACGTGATCCTCAGAGTGGAGACATATGTCTCTCATATGTGTTCTGACGGGTTTATCCACGGCCCCATGCATTCCTTGCAAGTGGAGGGCTTGGAATGCCGTATAGTCCTGTGCGGTTGAGATTGACTGTCATTCTTTTCCGAGGGCGCCCAGGCCGTTCGAATGCTGCCCCTATGTGAGGCTCGACTCAGGGGTCTCTGAATTTCATGTGTCGATGGGTACACTGCCCTGTGCATTTCTAACGATTGTTGGGCTTGGGATGCTGCATCGCCCTGTGCAGATGACATTGACTGCCACTCTTTTTCGAGGGCGCCCAGGTCGTTCGAATACTGCCCCTGTGTGAGGCTCGAACCGGGGGTCTCTGAATTTCATGTGTCAATGAGTCCACTGCTCTGGGCATTTCTAGCGATTGTTGGGCTTGAAATACTGCATCGCCCTGCACAGATGACATTGACTGCCACTCTTTTTCAAGGGCGCCCAGGCCGTTCGAATGCTGCCTCTGTGTGGGGCTCGACCCAGGGGTCTCTGAATTTCGTGTGTCGATGAGTCCCCTGCTCTGTGCATTTCCAGCGATTGTTGGGCTTGAAATGTTGCATCGCCCTGCACAGATGACATTGACTGCCCTTCTTTTTCAAGGGCGCCCAGGCCGTTCGAATGCTGCCTCTGTGTGGGGCTTGACCCGGGGTCCCTGAATTTCATGTGTCGATGAGTCCACTGCCCCAGGCATTTCTTACGATTAGTGGGCTTGGGGTGCCACATCGCTCTGTGCAGTTAACATTAACTGACATTCTTTTCAGAGGGCGCCCATGCTGCTCGCGGGCTAAGATTCGATGCTTAGATACACTGTATACACAACGGTTACCGCCCCCAACCAATTTGGCATCTCTCTTGCCCGTCCGTCTGTCCGTGACAACCGTTGAGGGGATGAAGTGCTCACTTTGGCAGTCAACCAAGGTGAAACACCCGTACACTGCTTGCCTGCATGTGCAAAACAGCCGTCGTGCGACAATTCATTTCCTCCTCACCTCCCTAAGGCCCTTGAAATCCATACATGCTCCTTTCTGACCCCCCCTCCCCCCCCCCCCCCCCCCCCCCCCCGGGGGGGGGGGGGGGGGGGGGGGGGAGGGGGGGTCAGAAAGGAGCATGTATGGATTTCAAGGGCCTTAGGGAGGTGAGGAGGAAATGAATTGTCGCACGACGGCTGTTTTGCACATGCAGGCAAGCAGTGTACGGGTGTTTCACCTTGGTTGACTGCCAAAGTGAGCACTTCATCCCCTCAACGGTTGTCACGGACAGACGGACGGGCAAGAGAGATGCCAAATTGGTTGGGGGCGGTAACCGTTGTGTATACAGTGTATCTAAGCATCGAATCTTAGCCCGCGAGCAGCATGGGCGCCCTCTGAA